GCCAGCACTGCTTCCCACCGCCCCCACCTCCAAAGGGGGTTCCACCCCTGACCTGGATCCCGTTAGGGCCAGAGTTGCCTTTGGGAAGAAAGGCCCCTTGTTGAGTTGTAGTGAAAATTCAAGCAAATTGAAATAGCTTGGATTCAAATGACTATTCAAAACAGTTGTTTATTACTCTCCTGAAAGTAGGGGGTGATTTCCCCACATTGACTCTGCCCAGTCAGGTAAAATCCGTGAAAAAATAGCTCCACATTTGCATTTTATGGAAATGATGCATTCGTCAGCAAGGTTATTGCCCTGGGAGTTACAACTCCCCTTTAGTTTGACTACATTTCCATAAGGGGAGGGGGGGTGGAAGAGCTGGGGTCTCTGGAACCTTCCTGGGTGCCTCAGCAGCTGGGATGGGAAGGGAACCACAAGGTAACCCCCAGAGCATCACCCCCAAGGAGACTTGGGCTTCTCCTTACCGTTGTAGTTTTTCTGCTGAGGAGGCTAACAGGCCTTGAATTTCCGGGGAGCATTTCCACCTCAGCCTCCTGGGAGCCGGCAGCTCGCTGACAGAGTCAGCTCGGACCAGCTTCTTGCTGCTGCTCATCCTGCAGGCACAGAGGTGGCCCTGTGAGCCACAGGGCCGGGCAGCAGGCTTTCCTGCCATCTGCAGTCATCTCAGTGTTGGAAGTTCAGTGGGTGTGTACTGCTCGCCCACCCAGAACCATTGCACAGACGAATAGACTGAGGCTTGGAGAGGCCACCCAAATTAGCAAGTGGCAGAGCCAGGATTACATCCAGTTCCACCTGACTCCAAAGTCCATTATTTCTTTTCACATTTTTCTGTTCAAATACCTTATACCACTAACACTTATAAAACATTTGGAGAGAAATTGAAGCAACTTGTGTTGTTCTGTCTATAAGGGTTGGTTTGGGTTTTCAGGGATCCTAAGGAGGTCCTAAATCGTGGAAGAGATTTAGAACTTAGAATCAGGGAGAAGATTCTAGAAGAAAAAAATGAGCGAAATCATAAATGGAGGAAGAAACCCAGTGAGTTTAAAGAACAGAGAGAGCCTTAGTCTGGCCAGCTTGAAAGCTAGAGAGAGCCAGAGACCCAGCCTGATGGAAAGACGTGCAGCTCAAAGACCTCCCCTCTGCTGCGTCATCAGCTGGCCCAGCTTGGACTTTGTATACATAATAGGGATTGATCTGAGCGACTCTGGACCAAAGCAAATATTCCTTTTTAGCTGAAAATTCTTTGCCAAGCCTCTCCCTAACTGCTGTTGCCCGATCAGCCCCTTCTGTCCATGGCTGATAAAGCGTATGATGTCTCATTCAAGTTGGTTTGCAAATTCACCTTTTGCTATGACACTTTCCAGACTAATGCAGCTGTGCATTAGTGGCCACCCCAATTCTTTGTAGCTTATTTTGGCAGCCGCAGAGCAGCCTGGCTTTGCCTCCACAGCTGCTCTGGAGGGGTTGTGCCCTCTAGACTCACATGAACTTGAGCAGATACTCCGTGCACTGCACCAGGACAATGCCGTCGAATGGAGAGTGTTCACACACCACGCCGCAGGTGCCGTCCCGGCCCACCACAAACTGCAATAAGGAGGAGAGGTGAGCAGACCTGTGGGAAAGTCAGCATTTCAAATCAGCCCCCTGCTCCAGACTACCTCCTCCTAGCTTCTCGAGGGCTCTCTCCTTAAGGACGCCAAAGCATGTTATATCCTGAAAAGAACATTACATGCAGTTGCCAGGGCCTGAGAATGTGGGAGGGTTTCTCAGACAGATCGAAACTGTGCAACCTCCTTCCCAGAAATACTCTAAGCAGTGAAGGTGCAGCTGAAGTTCCCTGGCTGAGAGGCTGTGCACATTCTCCTTGGCTCATGGGCGAGTCCCTGCAGCTTCTATTAGCCTTGTTTCCCCTTCACCATGAGTGGCAGGGACACTGTCCTGTATTACATTGTGTGATGATGTGTCCGATGGCCTGTGTTTTTAGGTACCGTTGATTTTATTCCCAGAATTTAGACCAGTGTCCAGCCCATAGTGGAGGCTCAATAATTTTGTTGAATGGCTAAATGAAAGATAACGGTCCAATTTGGATGGCATGCAGGTTCCTAGGGAGAGATGAGAGTGAGGGAAAAGCGTGCTGTGGGTGCCCAGTTAACTGCTGCACCGGCTCCGTGTCAGAGACCCAGATTCCAGTTCTGCGGTTGCTGCCTGCCAGGCGGGGGTGGGGGTGGGGGTGGGGCTTTGACAAGACACTTCAACTCTCTGGCTTCAGTTCACTCTCGTTTAAAATGGATCCATTAAGGCTAGTTCATAGGACTGACATGAGGATTAGATAGAAGGTATATGAAAGGACCACAAGAACTGTAAAGATTACTTGTGATTTTTTTCATGACCTCACAAAGTCTGTATTTAGCTGACTTGGAATCGGGACACACTCAGTGCACAAAAGTACTGGGAGAAAGTAGTAAGAATGAGATTTGATTCTTAAAGCATAATCCAAATAAAGCAGGGCTGCCTTGTAGCTCAGCACAGCATCACACTCAGGAGATAATAGCCCACTATCCATAATCAAACAAACAAACAAACAAGCTTTTGAAGTCTTTACTGAAACCCCTTGAAGGGCGCATAGCCCGCTACTGAGCTGACTCTCTCCAAGTCTCTCCCAATCTCTCACGTTGTTTTCAGTTGCCTGAATCTTTACTCCCATTCTTCCAACAAACTTCCCACAGAGTTCCCCACAAAGCTCATCCCTGCAGGCTCTTTTCTCTCTCCCGAGTCCCTTGCCATTCTTTCTTGAGACTAGCCCTACATCCTTTCAATTCACATCCACGAAGCCCATTGGGCTTCTCCAGCTCACCTGCTAATCTGTCCTGCCTGCAAGAAGAGCCCAGTCATCCCCGTGAGGCAGGAGGGAAGGACTGTGCCCACTCACACTTTAGTGTTGTTCTGTCCCTGTCACTAAAAGAAAGGGAGGCAAATGGTGCCTTTTAAAAACTGCTACAGAGCCTTACTATGATTTGGGTCTTGTACATCCATTATACCATTTCACTCCCACAGCTGCTCCATGAAAGATTACAAGCCATTAGCACCACAGGTGGAGGCTGAAACAGCCAGGACAGCAGCAAAACTCATCGGAAAGGGCGGAATCAATATGCAAACCAATAAAAAGAATATGCTGCAGAATGTAGGGGACAGAGGAAGAGAAAAATAAGCCTAGAAACGCTCACCAGTGTGAGCGAAGCATAGAGATCATCGGCTGCTATTTAATGGGCCATTGTGGAAGTGTGGCAGCTTTCAAAATAAACAAGATTAGATTCAGGATTGGCATGCTGGGGGAAAAAGGATGGAAGAACAGAAATGATGGCCCAACCTCAACCTCATCCCCACCTGCATGAGTGTTTTTCTCCAGGCCAAAGTGTCTTATTTCTGGGCTGATGTCACATGATTGAAAAAAATATGAAATGCTTTATTTCATTTTATGACTTTTCTTCTGTGAAGATGCCGGGCAGCCTGACTTTTCAGGGCTGGAGGGAGGTGTGCCAAAATGGCCAGGCCAGGGTGACAGAAATTCAGAAAAGCTGACATCTCTTGGCATCAGACGTGATTCTTGCTGAACGTGTTGAGGATTGCTCGGTGGGAGCCCACAGCATGCCCCCACCTTACAGTGTGTGATGGGAAATGGGCAGTGAACTCCAGGTCTGACCAGAGGTTTCCCTGGCGTGGCACAGGCTGTAGGAAGGGTAAGGCGTTTGTGTTGGGTTTGGCTACTTGATTCTGAGAAGTGTCCTGGCCAGTCCAGGGGCTGACGCTAATGGCACGTGTCCAGCCCCCTCAGTTCCCTCAGCCCCACATGCAGCATCCTGGGTAGCAAGAGGCCTGTGAGAGAGTCTGCCAGACATGAGCATAGTGCCAGCTTGGACCACTGGCCATACTGCAGGGGACACTCACCTGCAAGGACTTGTCGTACCAGCGGTTTGCCCCATTCTTGCTGCAGCCTCCACCGTGAAGGAGCTGGAGTGCCCTGTTGGTGTCACTGGGCTCCCAGCCCCCCGGGGCATCCAGGCACACCAGGCAGATGCAGCGCTCGATCATGTCCAGCGAGTCCCGGTTGGTGGAGTCTGCAGGGCAGGCAAGCAAGGCCTTTGCACCTACCCTACCTAGGGTCTGGGGTACCCTCTGCACAGCCCCCCGCACCACAGGCCCTTCCCTTATCCCAGTGGGCTTGGTCGTGAAGTCAGCCAGATTGTCTTGAGCTTCTGTACTAACTCCAGTGTCTAGCTCACCCTGACTCCCTGCAGGAGTCCCGCCCTCCAGCTGTGGCCAGTTCTTCCCCCAGGTGTTTCGTCACTGGTCCTTCCTGCCAGGTTGAAGGGGGCTGGTGTGAAGCCATCTCCATGGATGTTAGACCCTCAGGCCAGCCTACACCAGGGGAGGAGCTCCAATTACCCCGTTCAACAGCACCCCCCACTCTGGCACCAGAAGGCCACACATGGCACATGGGCATGTTTACTTGTCCTAAAATATGATTTTCAAACACTAATTGCCAGGATTTTTAAGTTAATCAATTGCACATGAAAATATGAAGAGAGTAAGTGTACTGCTCTCCCTTCCCCCTGCCCAGCCCTCCCCCAGCAGTTATGTCGATGCAGAGGGCAGATGGAAAGGCCAGGCTGCCCTGAACCTATATCCAGATGGGGCTGTTTCAGGCCTGTGGAACTCATCAGGACAAATAGGTTAAAAGCCACTGAGTTGTGCAGAAACATGTTGCCGAGGGAGCTTGACTCCTCCATGGGGACACTATGCATGGGGTTCCTCCCGGAACAGAGCTGAGTCAGCCAGATGGGCTGCCAGCAGCTTCCTCCACCGAGCATGGGGAGCTTCACCAAGCCTGCCCAGTGGGACCTGACCGTGGCCATGGCTGGTCTGCCATGTCCCTTCTCCCTCTCAGGAATCTTTATGGTTCCTTCCCATCATCCCATATGTGGTGTGGCACCAGGACCCAGTGGGGAACTGTACGTCGCCTAAGATCAAGACTTCTGGGCTGGATGCTGTAACAGGATGAAAGTTACCATGTCTCTCCAAAGTCGCAGGATATTCTATGCAAGGGAAAATGGGGTGTGTGGTATTTAGAGGCAAGGGGGCATTATGTGACAGAGATTGCTAATTGCATATCACAATATCTATTTCCCTTTAGCCACAGGATGCCTGGTTTTTAGCTTGGCACAGGGGCAACCAGAACTAAAGCTACATTGCCTCCCTTATAGCTAGAGTCACCATGTGTCTAAATTCTGCCAATGAGATCTAGAAACACTATACAACAGCTTCCAGGAAACCTTAAAATGACTAGCATGTGCTCTTTGCCCTTCTTTCCACCTTACTCCATCTTGCTCCCTAGAACAGAGGTGTGATGGCCGGAGCTTTAGCCTCCATTTGGGACCAAACACACCCTTGCAGTGAGATGGAAGAACCCTAGCTACTATGTATCAGAATGAACTCACAATTGGCTCAATGAAAGAGAGAGAAACCTCTGTATTTTTAAGCTATTATTTGGGGTTTTCTGTCCCATGTGGCGAAATCTAATCCTAACTTACACCATCTAGTAATGTTGGGTTCACATTCTTACACTGCAAGAATTAGCTGGAGCTGAGAAACTGCACCCTGGTTTGCCACAGCCCTTTCTCACTTATTTAGCCCCCTTGGTTGCTGCAGGTATTTAAATTCAAGGTGTCTGTCCAGAAGGCT